ATAAAAAATGTCAGAATAAATATGGAGCACAATGATTTTGCTATATAAGAATAAGAGTGATATCCAAAATTACAACAATTGTAGAGGTATCAAGTTGCTGAGCTACACTGTCAAAATTTGAAAGAAGATGATAGAGATGGGATGAGGACAAGGAGAGGTGTGCTATGTTATGCCCTAAGCCTACATCCTGAAAAGGACCAACACTCGGGAATCATTGATGGTCCCAAAGAGAACCCTTATCCTAGTTTACTTACTGAGCGGATCACTTAAATTAACCAGGATAGACCTATATAACTCAAGAATGTTAATAAAAAAGCATTCTACTAGCCAATAAAGCAACTCAAGTCTTTAAGCAACATTTGAAATGAATAAGACCAAAGAACTATAACGATCCGTCTATGAAACCTCTAAGCAATGAGGGATGTCAGGACAAGACCCCCGATCATCCTAACGACTAAAGTATTAAAGCAATGCAAAAAAAAAGCCCTACGAAAATTAAGGAGGTTTACTAACTAACACTGAGTGCTCAACTAGATCAACGAGGCGCTAGATGTTGATCCTGATTACTTGTGTCTGCATCCTAAAATGATGCAAGCCAAATGACGTCAGTAAATGAATGTATGAGTATGCGAGGGGAATATTAAACATAACATAAGCTTGAAAAAAAATCTAAAAGAAACATTTACATCGGTTTTACTCAACTCATGAAAAACTTAACTCAAATGCAATGTACACAACAATAAATAGGGTGCAGTTGTACAAAGCATTTAAATTAGTAGGTTGTAGCTCAATTTGATAAAAAAAAATGCAATAACAACTCAATTTACTCAAATAATAAAGTAACATAGTTTCTGTGGGAGTTTCTCTAATCGGCAACTATCACTATGAGCTTAAGTGGTGATGCAACGTCTTGCCCACGTTGTCGAAATTGTCATGTACTTTGTTGTCATATAGAACGCATTAACAAAGTGGATCCACTAAGCTATGCTAAAAAGCACTGAGAAATCATCTAAAAAGTGTGATTTTTTTTAATGCATGATGGCTACATGGTTTATGGAGATTTGAGTTATTATGAACTTGCATTCTCATATCGCATATGCTTTTAAAACAAATCTCTTTCTTTGGTTTGAGATAATTACTTAAAACCTAGCCTAAAAGCTCTCTTGGAAATTTGTGTATCCTTTCTTGCTCAAATGTAAAAACATTTTTTTAACTCTTGAAAATACTTAGTTCTCATATAATATATGAAGAAATGAAATTCTACACTTAGTCTTTAGTCATCTCAAAGCATAAGTCTTAAAACGAAGTTAAAATGTTTGTAAAAGACTTTTGAAAAACTTTATGAACTGCTCCTGACTTGGTCCTTGACTTCTTAACTTGACTCTTAGCTTTTCTTGAATTGAATTATGGATTTAAGGTTCATGATCTAATATTTATGGATGATTTCATGATGTTTATACCTACCTTAGAATGTTGGAGTAAACTAGAAAACATAGGTACGTTAAGGAACTAGTACGAAAAAAAAGGGGAAAATGAAAAGAACTAATGTCCCTGGCGCTCGAAGAGGCGCGGGATGCCAGAGGGTGAATTTCAAAGGTTGGGTTGGGGCGCTCTAGGTGGCGCGACGCCCCAGATCCTAAACTTCAAAGCCTCTTTTAGGTGCTCTGGTGCAGCGCCTTAGCCCCTGCCCAGGCGCACTCCGACTTTTCTCCTTCATTTTCAATTCTAAACATCTTATTCTACTTGGTTCTTCTCCCCAAACACTTGGAATAAACTATACCATCAATATATACAAGATTCAACTCGAAATCACGCCTAAATACATGAATCAACTTTAAAAAACTTTAACAAACAAGAACCCACGAGATTTCAAACGAATTAACATAGAGAACTCATAGAATTTGCTTTCAAAACTATACACCTTTACTGAATTAAATCACGATTAGCACGTGGCTGAACTAATCCAACGCTATGTGATCTTAGATACGTCGAAGGGATTAATCCTTGGCCAAAATTCACGCGAAAATCTTCAAGAAATCGATGAATCTTGAACTTTCTTCTTCTTTCTCCTATTTTCTCTTTTCTCCAAGCCCTAGCGTGAATTTCCAATTAACTGAACTGCTCTAATTCATATTAGACCCAAAACAAACTTCTAAAATCGAATTAAAATAATTGGGTAAGGGAAAGACTAAAATACACTTTGAGAATTCGATTTAGACTTTTTTTATTTGAACATCCCAACTTCAAATGAGCATATCTTACTCTACAAACTCAGGATTGCACAAACTCGACGACGTCAGAAAGATAATTCCAAGATCTTTCCTATGATTACTGAAAGCACACCTAACTCATCATGACCTAAGAGTTATGGTTATTTAAAATTGACTCCAAATTCAAACTTAACATAACTTAACGAATTTTCAGATTTTTCATTCTTTTTTAAAATAACTATTTCCAATTCTAACTCTTTCAGATGGCGAGGTGTTACATGCTTATTGACCTAGAAAAAGTTTATAATAAAACTTCTAAAAGTGTTTTCCATAAATGTTTGGAGTCTAAAGGTGTACGTACCTCTAAGTTTCACAAGATAATTTGACATACTAATGTTAATACCATGTAAGAGTGCCACATTGACATTTTTGATTGCAACTTTAGAAACATATTACTCCTATCTTGCAACTTTGATGATAAGACAGAATTTTTAACCAAAGAATATATAAAAATTGTTTATTACTGTTCCATCCATCAATTCTTTAATTTTCATCTGCAAAAATTGATAATTTTCATAAGATAATTAAGTTCAACGTCTTGATGGTTGAATTATATTTAGTTGTAAAAAAATTAAATTGTAAATTATATTTACTATTTAAAAATAAAACCATCTTTCTATTACTCATTAATACATTTCTTGGTCTGCCGTCCAAATTAATTTACACTTTTAACAAAAAATTAAGTAGGGTTTTATAATTTGTTTTCAGAAAAGTAGCTAGGGTTAATCTTTACAAAACATTTAAACGAGCATTTTTTTTTCAATTGTAATTAAAAATTGTTTCTCATTAGTACTGAATTAGTTCCCAATCGACTCCAGATAAATGACATATCTAATTAGTATTCCCATTTGTTCAGTTTTACTTATTCATTATTTTTAAAATATATTTTTATTATTAGTTATTATTTTTAATATATTAAAACTATATTTTTATTTTTTCCTAGTTTACCCGCAGCATGTTAGTTGCTTATTTCACAAATCATTTTTTCTAAGACTTAAAAATATAAATTAATTAATATGAGCACTATAGAAAATGCACATATCAATTCTTGTTTTTTTAAAGAAGATACAAATATTTAAAATAGACAAGTAAAAATAAGTTGATAATAATATTTTCGGTTGATTGTACTTTTACTAAATCCAAATTCATGGGGAACAATGACATTTATGACAGTATCTTTTAACTCTAAACGAGAAATATTTAAGTTGCCTGTTGGATAAAAGTATTTGGTTGAAATTGAATTGGAATATTTAATGTGGTTAGAGAAAAGTTTAAGGTTAAGTAAAGTAAGACAGCATGGTGAGAGAGATTTAAAAGTTTTGTTAAGTGTTTTGAAATCGGAATCGAAATGATTCAAGTAGAAGTGTTTTGATAAAACTAAACTTCGTCTAGTATAAAAATCGAAATCGTAATAACATATAAAGTATGTTACCCGTTTAATTTAAAGCTTGATCAAACTCAATTTTATAAAAATTACAGTATAAAAGAAGGAAAATAATGTTGCCGTATGATATATACGAGAAAACGTGTTAGGTATGCCATCAAAATTTCAAATCGATAACTACAAAAAAAAAGAAGCAACTAATTAACTTTAAATTGTGGGGATATACTTAATAGTGTGAGACCTACTAGTAAAAATTATAGGAGTTTTAATTCTATATATTTGCATTCACTCTATTAATAATGAGGTGATTTGACTCCCTAAGCTACTTCGAACATTCTCATATAAAAATGTAATATTAGTAATGATTAAGTTTATGACAAGACCATGAGAGTTTTTATATTTAGTGTTGGAAAAAGTATAATCCATGTCATTAAAACAAATTATATAGTAAGTTTTTATAATTCACTTCAGGCTTCAATCCTTATTAGATTCTTATCTTTATGTGTGGGGTGAAATAGGGTGGAGTGGAAATAAAGACGTATTTTATATATATTACTCAAATAAATTTATTTAAGACTCGATTTGCCTTTAAGACCTTGTTATATCATAAATTATTTTTAAGAATACTATGATATGCTATAATAAATTAAAGAAAATTTGATGAAAATACTGTTATCATATAGTCAACTAAAATTTGAAAGTAAAGGTCATGTTCAAAAGTGGTCCCTGAATCACCAAACCATTGTACAAAATCAATGGAAAAAAGGCTTTCTAATGTAAAAGAAATTAAAAAAAAAAAAAACTTTGTACGATTTTCTTTTTTATATGAATATGAAGCAGCAGCAAAAGATGCTAAAAGTAAGTGGATACCCAAACAGTCCGTTACTTTCGAGACAGATGTCAGCAGTACGATTAAACTAAAAAAGACCCTCTAATTCATCTAGCCAATTATTTCACAGCTACCACCGAGGTTGTTCTGGGACGGATAAAATTTCTTTATCCGTGATAAAAATCTTGATTCAAAGTTCAAAAAGTTATAAATTTTGTATTGAGAACTATTTTTCTTTTAATGAACCTTACACGTGAATTGAATTAAATCAATGATTATCGAACCCCAAAAAAGTTACATCCATACGTAAGAATAATTATGTTGATGGCCTAAAGTAGACGAGTAGTTGGCTAGTTAATTACTTTTAGAGTTAAACGTAATTTCTTTCTAGTTGTTCGATAAATTTAGAAATTAAAGAAAATTTATAATTTGAAAGTTTAGTGTTAGAACATCATATCTTTATTAAAGTGAAAGTAAATGTTTCCAATAAGTATAAATTGTATCCCAGAAGAAGGGCTAAAAGTTAAACTCCATCTTAATTAATTAAAGAGAGAAATTAAACCCACTCATACATCTCCAAAATAATTTAGCAGCTGAGATTACTAGTTAGTTTATACTTGATAATTAGTCAAAATTTATACAAAGTACAAAATAAGGGTACTTGAGAGCAATTCTTCGGTCTTGAGTGGTTCCTATATCGAACCACTCAAGACCATTCAGGACGCCTTATTCTGGAGTCATGATAATGAGGTTGTCCGATAAACAATTCAGTCTCAACATCTGATTTTTCGCTACCAGTACTACCACCTTCTATACAAAAAACTACTTCTCTTTCTTTCTCTCCACTTGATTTTCGTCTCTCTTCATCTCCTCCAAACTAATACAACAATCAACAAAACTCAAATTAGACGAATTTATTTAAGTCATATATAATTGAACTTCATAAATTTCGGGAAAGAAAATCAAATGTACACATCTCATGTTTACAGGAAGAGATATTATACCTTTAGTTCCCTCAGCATCATATTTTCAGCTGTAAGGGCTCTCTCCTGGATAATATATTACACAAGAAAGTAAAATAATAAGCCTAAGTTACAAGCATAACAAGCAACAAAATTATTACCACTTATAGGCTATGGTGTTCGGACTCTCTAAACATATTTCCACATTCATGACTAATCCTCTAAAAATAGACTCACGCATGCAATGTGAGAGTATCAAAAAAGGTCGACTTTAGTATAGTTTTTTTAATGAATCTATACTCTGACCATTTATGTACGCGTTGGTATATTTAAGAGTCTGAGCAACCTAGCATATATAGGATAGTTGGGATGACATTACATATGTATTAATTGTGACAATGCAATTAGTCTTACCCTTTCTTTCAATCTTTCCATTTGTTCCCTAAAGACTTGCATCTGAAAACAAGAAAGAGAACCAAAAATGCATTACAAGTAGCCTAAATTTCAATATAGATTATAATAATTGTGTGAGAAAATGAAACCTTTCGAGCCCTAATAGTAATGACACTCTGCTCCAATTGCTTCTCTAATTGTTGAACTTCTTCAAGGCTGCATGATCCTAAACCTTCTCCCAAGAGTTTCCTGTGTTACATCCAAATTGCCATTTAAAAGATTGATAAGGTGTTTCAAAACTTACTTGAGACCTAGTAAAGGATACTCGTTCTATCCCAATTTATATGACACCCTTTCTTTTTTTAATCTATCGACCAAAAGAAATATCACATTTCCTCATTTAGTAACTATTTAATGGCACCTTCTCCATTTCACGCTTATTATATCTCACTTAACACTATATTGTGAAGAAAAGTCAACTAGATGTGACTTTAATAAGGGCAATTCGATAAACATAACAAAGTTTATCCTTTATTCTTTACCTCCGTATCCAGTCAACTGGTGTCACATGTCACATGAATTGAGACAGAAGGAGTAGTAAAATGAAATAACAGCTATATATAGTCGAACCTTTTAGATGATTCAAGGAGTTCTATCTTCTTCATCAAACTTGCTGTCTCTTGCTTAGTATGCTGCATTATATGCATATATAATGTAAGCCTTTATTTATTCACTTCTTTTTTTTTTTTTTGCAAATGCACTAATTGCATATACAAGTTACCTGAATATCCACAGATTGATTTTCATCAGATTTAACTTTATCTTTAGTATGCCTCTTATATCGTTCAATTACCTCAGGTATGCTGCCAATTTTTGAACAACACTAACATATTAATATACACATAGCATTCATCAACAACGAATAATTGCATTAGGGTTCAAATTTCATAAGAAACAAAATATAAAAAAATTGGTGGTATTCATGATGCACGCAAACTAACACGAACACACACACAAAAAAAAAGGAGGAGACACAACAATTAGATTCTCCTAATAATTATTTGTCTCTTTGTTTGTAGTTATGAAAGCATGCCTTCTACTAGGATGTCAAAAGTTATGGGTAATAACATGGATAATTCATATAATAAGAAAGAAAATAAAGATTTTACTGACAGAAATATATATATATATATAAATGGAAGCACAAAAGGCATAGTAATTTGGTATGTGAATATCAAGAGTATCCGTACAGAAAATAGATTGTTGTCTGTCCAAAAGATTCTTTTAAGGTGTTGTTCATAATGGGAACAGCCCAAGAACTTATATAGATCATGAAATCAACTAGTACTATAACTTGACAACTGGCTCCCATTTATACTCTTGTTGATCGTTACGTAAAGTGTATAAGAATAATGCTAAATTAATTAACTATGCGAGGATATAACTAGTACTACTACTCTATATGTTGTCTAATTGCTCAACAAAAACTTAATTTGGTCCATACAACTATTCCATTTTTAAGGTTATAGGAACAAAATTACTGTTTTCTTAATCAAATGAATATTTGAACTAACTAGGGTTAAGTTTTTTAATGGATTATATCTGGATGAAGTACAACCTCTTGAGAAATTAGTATAATTAAGAACTACTGTAGTAATCAAAAGGACTTGGATCTGCATCTACATCTAAATACTTTCTATCCATGTATAATATAAATATGAGATCTGATACGATCTGAACGAAAACAAACACCTATATAATAGATAAAATTAAAAATAAGAAATATAGTAGCATTTACTTA